TGTGTGGACGGAAACCTAACCGTGGTTATCATGAACGACATTTTGTGTGAGAGAGAAGAGATTCTTTTTGTGTAATTGCATTGTGAAGGCTTAATTGTATTATTAACTTTTTTTTTGTCCTAACTCTGAAAAAATAAAATAAAAAATATCAATTTTCAAATTTTTTAAGATTTTATTTATTTTATTTTTTCTCCCTATAAAATCGTATTCTCCCTTCACCACACGTATTTCACCATGGCAACACCATCAACCATCACTCTAAGTCTTTATTCTTTATATTTTTTGCTATTTTTTTGTCTAATTGACAAAATGGTTTATTTCCAAAATTTCTATTAAAAATATATTATTTGACTTATGAACGTTGTATGTATCTATATATCTTGTTTTTGTTTGTTGTACATGTTTATGTGTGTGACTTATTTTTTATTTGTTTCTCTTTATTTATTTATTTATATTTTACTTCAAAGCAGAGGTCACGTTGTTGTTGAATCGATAACAAAAAATAAACATAATAGTAATATATATTTTTATTATTGCAGATGCACCTTCGTTCTTAATTTTTTCATTGTCTTTTGTTTTGTTTTTTGTTTTTTTACTTGTCATGGAATAATTCATGCTTTTGTAGGTGATTAATATTAGTAAAAGTGCTACCATCGATGATCATTTTAAGAGAGAGAATAGTGAGTCTTCGTTTGCGTCTATTCCTAATGTTGAATTGTCAAATATTGAGACTCCTCCCTTAAAGTCTCATAGAAATGAAAATAAAGAGACATTTAAAGAAGTTGATATTATTTTATTGGAAAGAGATCCTGCATGCACCCTCCAATATGAAAATATCCTATAAATCAGCAAGATGAAATTCGGCGTGCTTATCTTAAACTCGGTCCTTTTTAGTGCAAACTTCAAAATTATCCTTTGTCTAAGCCATAGAAGAAGCGACATCATTTTTGCTCTTTTTGGTTTGATATGTTTCCATCTAGAGACTATTTTCCAACTAAAGATGTTGTACATTGTTTACCTTGTTATTTATTTAATAAACCAAGTGGCAGAGGACGATATGGACTTACTACATTTCTTGTTGAAGGTTTTAGAAATTGAAAAAAAGTTAATGATGGAGAAAATTTTACTTTTCTATGCCATGTGAAGTTATCTTAATTTTTTTAATTAATTTCTTTCAATTTTTTTATATTAGGTCTGTATTATATTGTAAATACTTTTTATTTATAATATAATATTTTTTTTTATTTTCGCTTCCTGTCACAAAAATTCTTGGGTCCACCTCTCGTTAGGTAGTTGCTTTTCCTTCCGCGAGAAACTCCATTTTCATGGATAGTATAATTTATGAAATTTTTTTATTCCAATTTATCATGTGTTTTCCTAATATTTAAAACTTGACAATTATTAAAAAAGAGAGGAAAAAAATAAACAAAAATAAAAAGTTAGAATTTTATTTCAGTTTTATGATAATGTAAAATTTACACTTTCATTCAGTTATTATATAATTAAAAGAATTGAATTTTCAGGTACTTGCTATTATAGTTAAGCTTTTTTTAATCATGTGATAGCATATGATAAAATGGTATTAAATTTTTTCACTTATGAATCAAAATTACACTAAAAAACTCACCCGTTCGTGAACTAAATTGGGCCTGAAATGCAACTACGTGTCGGGCTAGAGTTAGGATATCAAGCCTGCATAATGTGGTGAAGCTATTTTCCAACCGAGATACAAAGTTGGAGAAAAAAAAACCCGAAAATAAATTATAAATTAATGATTTCACAAGTAGAAGTTTTATTATAATAACTTTAATTTTTTGGTAAATAATAACTAAGAACTGCAACTTTAAATTTCATTAAGTTAAGATCTCAACTTATTATGATGATAACCAATTAAAGACATTATATGAAAGCATTTTGAAAATATTTATCAACTAAAAAACTTAATTCATATACCATGTATTTTGGTTAGGTCATAATTTTTTTTTTCATATTAAGTTGGACATTTCAGTTTTTTCAATATCCAAATAAAAAATTTCAATAAATTTGAAGTCCTTAATAAAAATAAAAGTTCAATATCTTAATTAGTTTATCATGCAAAAAAAATTAAATCCTCATGTAAATCTTCACTCAATTATCATGTAAGGAAGTACTGAGCATTTTTTTCCTTCTTCTTTAGTTTTTGGGGCTTGAAAGGTGGTAACATGGGCTTTTGGAGATACGAATATAAGTCTGTCTATTTTAATTGGACAGCCATTGCGGGCTTATGAGCTGGTAAACAGGAAACTGTCTAGAATGGTTTTATAATTGTTCTATATAAATTCCACAACTTCATCTTAGAATTTTGACTATCATAGAAAAGGGTAGCTTTTAAGGGATTCTAAATCTCTCTTTTTCTAGTTAACATGTAAGAATATATGAGTAGTTTTGATATGATTGAGAAAGATATAAAATGCTAGTATATAAAATTGGTAGAACCCACCCAATGAGTAAAGTTTAGTTGGTAATATAGGTTGAATAGGTGGAGAGATAACTTGAGTTTGATTTCCCATCAAATACAATTTTGAAAAGCGCCAAAGAGATTTAACTGTAACTAACCCCGAGACTCGGGATTATTGCGTTAGCCGTCTTAAAGAGTTAAAAATAAAATTGGTAGACCCCAACGGAAGTAAGGATGCATCTCTGAATAATAAAATTTATGTCTCTTTTCGTAACAGCAATTCTGCAATTGAAGAAAACAAAGAGGGTCTAATCTTGGTCCTCTCAATTGATTGTTAATGGGAAAAATGACGTTGAGGTACGCAATCAAATAGATTGGATTCCTCTGCTATATATCTCTCACTTGCTTTGTGGTGGTAGTTGAATTTGCAGCACTATGGAAGTCAAACTATAAATGAACAAGCTTACGACAGTATTGTTGATTAGATTATGCACCAAACCTCTACGCAACAGTAAATCCTCTCTAATTTTATCAGTTGCACTTGCAATCATGGAAAAGACAACATCAATTGCTTACTTCTAGGAGCATTATATGCTGCAAGACGAAACATGTTTTGGGGTAAGAAGAAATGAAAGATGACTCCCAAAGTGGAAGTCAATAATACTCCTTAAGGAAGAAGAGATTATCAAGGGATGCTTTATATGTGTTAGAAAGAATATATCTTTGGTATATCTTTAAATATTTATTTCTTTATTTCATTAGGATTTGTATTAGGTCTAAGCTCGTTAGTGTATCTATATATTATACATCTTGTATCAATTCAATATTACACAGATTTATTTTAATATTTTCCTCTTCTCTTGTTATTTAATAATATGCTGCAAATCAATGGTTTATAAAAATAAGTATTTGCGTGGACGATGGCATAATTGGATTTGACACCATATTTGAAAAATATTAAATTTACAAGTCTTTTCACTTATATATATTTTTATTTAACACTTCCCTTTTTCATTCATATTTGAATTCTCAACAAATTAACGAAAGCCAGGTTGGGGTGGTCACATATAATGTTTTTGTGCTTCCTAAAATCCCTTGAGCATGAAAAGATGCAGGTGGAAATCCAGCTCATACTATCCCTTGAGCACTGATAGGACCCCATGTGGAAGGACTGCCAGATCACGGACTAACTTATTGTATTGCAGGTTTAATTTTTTTAACATAAAACTAAAGGAAGGGTCCTTATAGCTGTCTCTCCTCGTCCCTAACGCTGGCAACAAGCTAAATAATGACTACTTCTGCCTCCTCCTTTCTCTGTGTGCGTTTGTGTGCATATTGCCCTTTGCGGGTGGGTGCGTGTGCTCATGGTTGGCTCACTAGCAAAAAAAAAAAGAAAAAAGAAAAAAAAAAGTCACGCAATATATAATGATTAAAGTAAGTCAAGCTCTACAACAACATGAGAGTGCCAAACATGTATGATCCAACTATGACTGTGGAAGAATCATCCTTGAAAAGTATTGTTAATTAAGTGGCAAGATAAGAGAGATATTGTGGTTCTCATTTCTCGTGGGCTAGCTTGTGGACATGATAATGGTCTACCATTATTAATAAAATAAGTGGCACGTTATCTTGATAGTTGATATTAGATATTGTTATTGTCACAAATCACGATTGACAAGGGAATGATACGATGGTGATGGATGCATAATCATAACAGTCTTTAATTTTGTTTTTCATCGCAGCCGCCCAATGCTTTCCTTGCACATGATTTCCTATCTGCCCTAATCAAGAACTCAAGTATATATATATATATATATATATATATATATATATATATATACTTTTCCCTTGTATCAAACCTAACCGTAACTGTTCTTATTCGTTTTGGTTGATTTGCGGATTCAGGGCTAGGAACATGGGGTCATGTGGAATATATTTTGGTCGCAACAAAAAAGGAAAAAGGTGTGTAAAAGTTATTGGCGCAGATGATTACCCCAGTGCATGTTTATTACTCTATAGAATATAATTGACTGACAAATGGGACGGTAGAAGAAATTGGAGAGGTGAAATGTAAAATTAAATCAATAATTTATTACTTTTACTTTTTACATCATATGATCAGAGGGTCCATATCTCTTTTTGTTTATCATCTATAAGAGTAAATTAAATGAGGATGCAGAACTAAAAAGGAATCCTTGTGAAAAAGGAAAAGTCTGATATGTGTGGTTATGTTACAGAAAAAGCGAGGGCAAAAATCAACTGCGGGAGATTCAGCACACAAGGACAAGCAAGTAAGACTAGTTAAGCAAGCTTAGCCAAAACGGAAAATTGATTGGATGGTGAGAGAGAGTATATTAGTGCAGAGACAGACAGGGAGGACACACTTGACACTTCTAATGAGATGGTAGCGTAGCTGTCACTTGATATTACACAACCCCATTGTCCTTCTTCCTTTCTCTCTCGGCCAGCAAATTAGCATTTGCAGCTGTCAGATCTCTCTCTCTCTCTCTCTCAAATAAAAAATAGATTTCTTTCCTTTTCGTATATATATTTTTGTTGTAATCAACCAACGCTTATATTCCAAACGACCATCAAGGAATAACAATAATACATCAACATAAACCATACCCACCTCTTTCTCCGAGGCTCTTCAAATTCAATATATGATTCTTCTGCTAGGAAAAAGAAGCGGTTGAATGGTATAGAGCAGAAATCAAGCAGAAGATTCCATGGAATTAATTTGGCAGAGAAACAGGAGAAGAAACAGCTGAATTAAATGAGTGACACGGCAAGTCTTCATGCACAAACAAGGACACCCATTATTTCTTCTTTTCATGCCATGGCTTACCCACATTTCGGAGATACATCACTCACGAAATTGTTTGTTGGAGGACTAGCCTGGGAGACTCCCACCGAAGAAATGCGCAGATATTTCGAGCAGTTCGGGGACATTCTTGAGGCTGTCATAATCACTGATAAGAACACAGGAAAATCCAAAGGCTACGGATTTGTATGTTTCTCTCTATTGTCTAGCTAGTTACCTTGAATGTCAACTTTTATATATATGTAACTGTTAACTGTTATGACTTGAACATTTGTTCCTTATTATATATATATATATAACAATATAACATATGTCCTACAAAGAACAGGTAACATTCTGCGATCAGGAATCAGCAAGAAGGGCTTGTGCTGATCCAAACCCAATAATAGATGGAAGAAGAGCAAATTGTAATATTGCTTCTCTGGGAAGGACTCGACCATCACCCCCTCGAGGTCAATTTACTTCCTTTACTATATAGTTTTTATTTTTCCATCAATATATAATATATATACATATCGGCTATGGAATGATGAGGTTTTGGTGGATGGTAAAGCAGGAAGGAATATAATTCAAGCTGGAGGAGGAACAGCACAGGGTGGTGTTCCGGCAGCAGGGCCACCGTCATTGCCACCGCCAACTGCTCTCGTGTACCCACCATATGGGTGAGTTGAGTTAGCTTTATTTATTTACTGGATACATTAATTATACATATCACTCGTGGTCAAAGCAAATGGTCCATGGTATTAATGGAGAAGTGCATATACACTCACTTATATTACTGTCTGCAAATGTTGCTTGACTGTTCCAACCAGTTATATTAGGTATCAGTACATGTGAGCCCCAAATCATATCGTATCGTAACAAAAGTACAAAAGGAAAATGGTTGCTCTGCCATGCACACAATGTGCATTATTGTTCCTTCTGATTTGCATAATCTAAATTCCCATAATGCTTAATCAATTGCATTTACTCCAGCAGAGGAACATTTTTAAATATAATGTAGTATCATTGATATGTATAAGAAAATAGTATAAATGCTAGTGATAACAGCTTCAAATCAATAGATATTTAATGCCTGGTATTGCATATATGTATATTTGTGTCTCGTGGAGGTCGTGCATCAATTTAATTTGATTTTTGATCTTGCACAAGCTAAAAATCCCATAGCTCTCGGTACTTGCATATTCTGAACCACTGAGACATTTTCAGACCGGCATGTACTGCTAAGGGCTCTTGAATAGTATGTAAAATTTAGCTTCAAACACAAGGCAAGGAAAATTAATATAAAAAATAAATATAAATAGATATATTTTTGATATATTTTTTGAAGTTGATTAGAAAATGTGATATATTAACAGTAGTTGCATTCTTTTCATCAAAGGAAAAGATATTATGATAAAATATGGTGATCGGAAGGAGTTATTCAATTTGATGAGTTGCATAGTAACTTGCATTATTAATGTTTTTACCATAACTTGAACCACTTTAACAGTAAGTAGCTCATCAGTTTAATTTCTCCCTTAAAGACTACACCAATTCCATCAGTAGCCATATTCTTCATTGCCTGTGAGTGTGTATACAAATCACCTTAGCTAGGCATTTTTTTTTTTATTCTTTAATCCTTCCTTTTCTGTGTATTGGGAAACAAGTTGTTCAAAGTATGCAGTATCTAGAAAAAGGAACCAGTCACTGAAGTCATAATAATTTCGATCTTATAGGGACTATGCTTGTCAGATCACAGTGACAGTGTAGGCACACACAACATTAATCTCTCCCTCTTTTTCTCTCTCTTCATACATTAATCAATGAGGGAGCCCACGACATACGACGTTACTGATACTAATGGTTAATGTCCTCGCTGGAGTTACCGGAAAAGCCATATATACGTATTAAGTTCACCAGTACACAACAAGAGAATCATGCCATTTTGAGTCACAGAAAGAAATGCACTACTGCATTTTACATAGTATTTCCTTTCATATTTAATTTTCTCAGTAATTAAATTCCATTCAACTACTCTACACTCTTGCAGCTACACAACCTACACTCCTGATTATGGGTACCATCAAGTAAGCGTCTCTATCTCTCTCGCTCATTAATTAGCAACATGTACTTTTTAATGATATCAAATAGCTAGTGATAATTAATGGAGAACAGTTGGATAACGTTAGCTTAATGATTGTATGAGAACAGGCCACATTGTACAACCCACAGATTCAGCAACCACAATACTATCAACAACTCTATGGACCATCATCTTCCACCATGGGCTCTCAATATTACTATGGTTATTCTGTGCAAACACCAAGAAGCACATTTTCTTCACCCCAAGCAAATCGCCCATCAGCTGGACCGTCCTATCTATACTATCCTACACCCATGGAAGTCTCCTTCTCTGGATATCGTTCACCCCAACAACCAGCAATAAGGCAACCCTTTCCTTCCCCTAAGGGTAGCTTTCTGTTCTAATATTCTTTTATTTAACTTGTTTTTTATCCTTCCATTATTTTATCTATCAACTACATATATTTCACACAAACACACATAGATTTATGAATTATGATCCACTTACTGACACACAATATATATATATTATGATTTGGTTACATATGTGGCCATGGGGTCCACATGGGCAACCCCAGACCCATGTGAATGAGCTGTCTCGGTTGTGCCATGAATCGGATAATGTGTAATGGGTCAATGTGGGAAAAGAGTCATGACAGAGGGAGAAGGTCATCGGGTAAAACAAACACACAGTGAATGCATGTGTGGTTGACTGGTTTCAGTAGGAAATGTGGTGGTTAATTCTTTAAAGAATCAGTCAAATTTTCTTGCATTCATGCATTGGCCCACATTGCATCTTAGATGCTATAGTGCTATACTACCTTGGTTTTAATTTTAAACAAATACGGTCATCACAATTCACGGCAAATGTAACCTTATTTTTTTCTTCCCGTATATACATACAACTTACGCTAGATCAATCGGTAACCTGTGTATTTGTGCAGAAAATTAAAAAGACAAAATATAAATTATTTCATCCAATTTAAACAATAAAAATGTGATCGGGTTAGTATATAATTTATTTGCACTTCGCTTTACAGATTTTGATCATTCTTATAGTATGAAAGTGATTGAAAGTAATATTTAATTTTTTTATCTACAAATCGCAATGAAAATTAAAGTTTTATTTTCATTCTATTTTCACTTTCCTTCCAAATTTTCTCATTTCCATTTTTCGTATGTACCAACAAACATAACCTAAATGTGTGTGGAAGATCCTGTCAATATGATATGCCTGCCTGTCAAATATCATATATAGAAGAGTTAATTAATCGTCTAATGTCGCGTGCAATGGAAGTGACCTTCGTCAGAGACTAGTGATCGTGGTCTTCTTTTGTTTGCTATCTTTGCTTCTGTACCCCAAAAAAATAGTAATAACAAAATAATCGCTAATGTGACATTGTTAATCATCATTTATATATGTTCTCTTTATGAAAGCTATGTTTAGCGCAATCTTAATTAATGTTTATTGTATGGTTGTACTTGATCAGATTCACAGAATCAGCAGCGTACCTCCTCTGAGACAGCAGCTGGAGTAGATGTAACTTCAGAAACTTCAAATACCCAAGGGAGGAACTAATAAACAATGGTTCGAGTCAAATACACAATCTTAGCTTCAACTGTTTAATCTTCAAGTTAAATTTCATCACATTAATTCTTCATCTTTATCCAAATTAATGGTTTAGAAAATAATGGTTCGGGTCAATACTGGTGTTCTCCACAGCTATGGGCTATGACATTCATTTCAAAAAGATGGACTAATCAACTTCTTCATTCAGATTATCTCCATTCTCTTTTCCTTGTTTTCAGGGATTTTCTTTACTAATTATTTATATTTTCTTTTTAGGTTATATGTTGACCAATTACCAAAAATTATTATTAGGGGCAATAATTTTTAACACACCACTTGCTGATAGTGACACAACATGAACATTAAATCAGGAATTCGTGTTCGGGTCAACCCGTTTTAAAATTCAATCGCGCAAAACTTGACACGAACAAATTCAAATCGTATTATGTGTTAACCCATAAAACAAAATTGAACTGCGTTAATCTTCTTGCAAGTTATTCGCGTCAGGTTGTAAAGAATCAATTCAATTCAAAAGTTTAAGTTGTGGGATAAAGTTACATTAATGATTTTACATTTCTCTAATAAATGTCATGTCTTATCAATATGATATTAGTGAAAATAACATTCAATATACATATTACTCTTATCGTATCGTGTTGTGTTATTTTGTATAATAAGTAACCTATTTTGAACTTGATTGGTTATTTGTATCGTGTCTTGTCAACTCAATAATAAACTACAGATTTTTAAGGTTAACATGATATTTGTATTGTGTTGGTATTAGATTTTTAGGAAAAAATGTTTGTCATTTTAAATGACACAACTTATGTCATTTCACTATCACAAAAGAGGTGGGACCCACACCTTTATTTTTTTTTGTCCATTGTCTCTCCCCCATAATCTCTCTATTTCTCTCAATTAAAATGACATAACTTTACATTCTTTAAAATAACATACACTTTCCCAAATTTGTATTATATGAATCAGTATTGTCATTCCTAATATATATATATACACACACGTATGTTCAAGCAACAATCCGTGTTGTGAACCCAACTAGTCATATATCTTCTAGAGCGTGAAAGGGGCATGAAAGGAAAAATTGAAACGTTTATGACAATTTTTAGGGCGATTAGTTTTAGGGTTTAATATTTTTCATGTTGTAGGAGATAAAATTATCTCCTATACACACATAAAAATGTATGAGACTCATGCTTTCTTTTTCTCTCTCTTCTCTTCAAAAGGCCCCACATGGATCACACATACTTTATGAGTGTATAAGAAATAAAATTATCTCCTACAACACGAGAAACATCAAACCCTTAGTTTTATGGGGAATATGTTTCTCCTATTGTATGAGATAATTTTGTCTCATGCAACACCTAAAAAAATGTATGAGACTAGGGGTGAAACTGGACCGGACCAGCCTACAGGGGCTTGCAACTTGGCCCACTATTGGCTTGGCCTAGCCCAACCCTTTTACTTAACAGATCAGGCTTGGGATGGTTTAAAAGCCCAATTAACAATTGGGCCATGATCTTAATTTAAAAGACCTAGCCCACGAGCCTTCAGGCTAGCCCATTTTCTTTTCTTTTTTTGTGAATAAACCACATGTATCTTCTACGGGAAGCAATCATGTTCAGGGCGAGTATATAGCATTGGGGAGAAAGACCGAACACATGTTCTCATACCCTTATATTCAGTTCCCACGCGCCAATTGAGCTACCATCATTTGGTATACGCCAATTGTTTTTTAATACCCTATACCTGACCCATATGATATAAAATCCTGTGCTTCGCGTTTCAGTTGGGGCTTTCTGTGGTTCCTATTTGTATTTCGTGTTGGTTCCACATTTCTCTTCTTGCATCTGTTGAAAATCGACCATCACACAAAATTGAGAAAACAGAAAAAGAGATAAGAGTAGAGAGATTGACACGATGATTTACTCTGGTTCACCCAATTAAGGCTACGTCCAACTTGTCTGTACTATCTTTTCCTCACCGCCACTCGTTACAAGTCACTCAGTTTACAAGGCAAATATAAAGAGGATTAGAAAACCCTAACCGCAGCTATTCATGGCCCAAGCCCAAACTGCTAAGAAAATTACAATAAAACAGAGGCCCACAATAGTACCTAGCCTCTACGGGCCTGGGGGCGCTGTCCCTCGGACTCCCGCTGTGGCGGCTCCCCCGGACACCGCCCGCTCACCTGGGAGCGGGACCAATTTGCCTTTCTGCTGACCCCAACAACTAGGGCCTTCATCAACATGCGAAGTATAAGTCATACCCAACATCATCTTAATTCCATACTTCTGTGCTTTTATTTTAATTTAACAACTAGAACGGTGGAGGGAAGTTGGATCGGGATATTTGGACTTCTAGAAATGTCGAGCGCTTCCACAGCTGCAGCAACGCTAGCAACAAGTTTCCAAGTGCGTATATCGTTTGATGATTTTCCTTGTAAAACTTTTCATTTGAAACTTGGATTCGGTTCTGTATATATAAATATATGGTAACAGCAGAAAGCTACGCTTTTCGTATGGCAGAAGCTCAAGTGCTTACATAATCGAACCGATATTTGATGATTGCAACGAGTGGTGGCTTGAATCATCAAAGAACCGGGGTAGCTTTCTGAACTCTTTTTTTTGTGTGTGTGGAGATAAGCTCTCTGAACTCTTGTTATTACTATAGTCAAGCATGGATTTGATATTTGGCTTTTGCTTTTATTTTAAAAAAATTCATGGTTTTGATCTCTGCCCCTTTTTTATTTACTTACAGTGAATAAAAAGTGAAATGAAAAAGAAAAAAAATTAAAATGCATATACTGCCTCAATTGCATTCTGCCATAGATTGAGTTTGTCAAATAAAACCAACTTGCTCATGGATGCCTTAACGCTTATTTGAAACCTTTGTCTTCTTGAAGGCTAGTTTTCACATAAGACTTGGAAAAATCACAAATACTTTTGGGGCACATGTTCAATATATGTTTCAAGACAACAACCATGACTACCATGTTGGAATTTTTTAATTCCTCTAAACCTTTTGGTGATAACTATCACCTACAAGCCAAGCTTCATCATACCAAATCATAAAGAAATAATTACATAAAGGTGGAGGCATACCTGTCTCCATTGCAGCGGAATAACTTTGATCTTGACTCTTGGGGTTTGTAGTCTTCCTCAGTCAAATCACCCTAAAACCGAATTCCTTAGCATGTCGTCTCTCTCTTGATGGGGAAGAGAAACTAGGGTTGTAAATTTGACGTATTGGGGACCATAACCCTTATAGTGTTTTTATCTTTATTATTGGGCCGATAAGCTCCCATTATACCTAGTTGACCCAACACCGGTATCTACTCATTCAGCCCATACTCACTTAGGAATCTATTTGGAAATATTTAACTCATCACTTTAATTTATCCAATATATATAAATAGCACAATATAATTATTAATATAATATGTGACCCACAATGATTATTAGAAAATATAATTTCCTAACAATCTCCCACTTGGGCCACATATTAACTTGAGATAATTATATCATATATCTTTAGTGCGCAACTGTATGTTATTTTTCTTTAGATTCCTCCTTAGATACAATCTGGTCCATCTCCTATATCAATATGAGATCATGGCTGCTTTTGTCACTTTCAAGCGTAACTAAACCTTCCATGGTCATCACACCAATATATTCAATGACATAGATCAAGTATGGATGAGTGGCATGGAAATTACATGCAATGTGATCTTACCATGCCTATTTCACTCTGGTCCTACTTTAATCTTTATGAGATCAATCCTAAATTTTTTGTATACACAAAGCAGAAACACAAGCACAAAATATAATACATTCAGAGGAAAAATATCATTGAGTTCTTTATTATGCAGAAAACAAACATAAGAATATTTCATTTATTTATTTACATAGAACACCAACATAAAGAACTCTCACTAAACCGTAGTGTCATCGAACAAAACAACAACCATATGAGCAGTATGCTCGAGAAAGACCTTACGCACTAAGCCTTTAGTAAGCGGATACGCAAGCATGGAGTTCGTCCCTATGTGTTCTATGGAAATCTGACCACTTTGAACTCTTTCTTTAACAACCAAAAACTTTATATCGATGTGCTTCGATTTTGAAGAGCTTCTCATGTTGTTGGAGTACAACACTGCTGACCTGTTGTCACAATAAATCTTCAGTGGCCTTTCAACACCACTTACTATATGCAGCCCTGTGACAAAGTTTCGCAGTCATACCCCATGGTTGGATGCCTCAAAACAAGCTACAAATTCAGCGGCCATAGTAGAGGAAGCTACGAGTGTCTGTTTAACACTCTTTCAAGAAATAGCTCCTCCAGCCAACATGTAGACATAACCTGACGTGGATCTTTTACTATCTTGGCATCCAGCAAAATCAGAGTCAGTATATCCGACGATCTGTGATTCATCTGACCTCCGATATGTAAGCATATAATCTTTTGTTCTCTTTAAATACCGTATAACCCTCTTGGCTGCTTTCTAATGATCCATTCCTGGATTGCTCAAGTATCTTCCTAACACTCTCACTATAAATGCTATATTAGGGCGAGAACAAACCTGAGCATACATAAGGCTTCCTACTGCCGAAGCATAAGGTACCTTTATCATTTCTATCATCTCAAGCTTACCTTCAGAGCATTGGGCGAGACTAAACTTGTCTCCCCTAGATATGGGCGTATCTCCTGACGTACAATCCTTCATGCCCACAGGACTCGGCATGGGATAGGTACCTTCCATTGGTGGAGTTTTCGTATAACAACAGTTTTCATGCTAGCCTGGGCATGGCACCCTACGAGGCGCTCTACGGTAGGAGGTGTCGTACACCTACCTGCTGGTCTAAGGTTGGGGATCGTGAGTTGTTTGGTCTGGACTTTCTCCAAGATACCACCCTGCAGATCCAGATGATCAGGGAAAAGCTGAAGCAGGCGCAGAATCGCCAGAAGAGTTACTATGATGTTAAACATCG